TTTCACCTGAGAGACTATCTCAGGCCATGATGGGAAGTGGGGTTGAACACGCCTTATTCTGCCTCTCCAACATCAATATCGACACAGGCTGGAAGTCTGGCAAGAAACATTTGACAACCTGTTCTCTCTAAAGCTGCTACCTGAAGATTTCCTCTGCAAACAAGAACTTGGGTCTCCACAATCTTTTAACTTAACCCAGACATTTTTATTTAGTTGATCTCAGGTCTTTAGATAAATTCAACCAATTGTTAATCAGAAAATGTTTACCTTCACCTGTAGTCTGGAAGCCTCCCGCTTCAAGTGGTCCCGCCTTACTGGACCAAACCAGTGTATTTCACAAATATATGTGATTGATGTCTCACGCCTTCCTACAATGTATAAAGTGAAACTGCACCCCGACCACCTTGGGCACATGTTCTCAGGACCTCACGAGGGCTGTGTCATAGGCCATGTCACTCATATTTGGCTCAGAATAAACTTCTGCAAAGATTTTACAGAGTTTGACTCTGAGTGATCACCACATAGAGGCTCTGCCGCATAACCACCTGCTGCACAACATCACCTCCATTTCAGGGATAAAGGTTTGAGCTAGAGAACAAGTGACTTCCTGGAGACCGCACTGCCCACAAGGAGCAGGGAAGGATGAGAAACTGGGCTCAGTCCTTCCCGGCCAGTCTGTCTGCTTCCAGAGGCTGCCTGGCACGGAGCATGTCTGATTAGTGCTCAGTGAGGCACACCAGGTCACAAGGCTCTGTAAGTTCCTTCCTTAGCCTTCACTGTTCCCACTAGTAGGAGCTAAAGGCCATCAGAAGGTTGGCCAGCTGGGTGCTCTGTTGAATGTCTGCTTGTTAGAGTGCCAAAACAGACACAGGAGGGGAACAGACACAGGAGGGGAACAGACACAGGAGGGGCGGCCACATTTGGCACACCAATTGCTCCAGCCAGGCAAAAGCTGAAACGGCTGGGAGGACAGGAGTCCCTAACACCATTCCCTTGGGTGTGGGGCACACCTCTGGTCTGCAGGGCGTATGCATGGCGACTGTGAAGGTGGCTGGAGTGGTGGCAACGTGAGTGTGGGGAACCATGTGGCATTCTTGGGAACGCCTTGGTGGCCAGAAGCTTTGTGCAGTAATGCCTCCTGGAGCTGTTCTTGGTGCCAATTTATATGCCTAAAAAGGAGGCAAACAAAACCACCACCAGGCACCTGGAGCCTGACCCCAAATGGCAGCCTTCACCTGTGCTGTAGTCACCAGATGAAGTTCCCCAAAATCAAATTCCCTTTCTAATCATAACTCTTTGACACCATGGAAGATACTTAAAAGAACATGCATGACAACACCAAATACTGGGAAGGGCACAGAGAGGAGGGGCATCATGCTCTGTCATGGCATGCTCCTTACAAAATGAACTGAGCCAAGAGAAATAAAACCTCATGTTCATGCAAAACCTGTTCGTTAATATTTACTGCAACTTTAGTCACAATTGCCAAAACAAGGAAAAACCCAGATGCGCTTCAATGGGTAAATGCTTAACGAACTGTGGTGTGCCATGCCATGGAACACCATGCAGCAGCGAAGAACAGGTCACTGATTGGCACACATTGTGGCAGCGAAGAAGAATGGGCCACTGATCGGCTCACACAGCAGCTGCAAAAAAGAACAGGCCACTGACCAGCTCAAACGGTGGCTGTGAAGAAGAACGGGCCACTGACGAGCTCACACGATAGCTGCGAAGAAGAACGGGCCACTGACCGGCTCACATGGCAGCTGTGAAGAACGGGCCACTGACCGGCTCACACGGCAGCTGTGAAGAACGGGCCACTGACTGGCTCACACGGCAGCTGTGAAGAACGGGCCACTAACCGGCTCACACGGCGGCTGTGAAGAAGAACGGGCCACTGACTGGCTCACACGGCGGCTGTGAAGAACGGGCCACTGATCGGCTCTCACGGCGGCTACAAAGAAGAACGGGCCACTGATAGGCTCACACGGCGGCTACAAAGAAGAACGGGCCACTGACCGGCTCACACGGCGGCTGTGAAGAAGAACGGGCCACTGATCGGCTCACACGGCGGCTACAAAGAAGAACGGGCCACTGACCGGCTCACACGGCGGCTGTGAAGAAGAACGGGCCACTGACTGGCTCACACGGCGGCTACAAAGAAGAACGGGCCACTGACCGGCTCACACGGCGGCTAGAAACTACACTTGAAAATGAAGCAACAACTCGACCTCCAGGGAATCAAGCTGAGTGAAGATCATCAGTTATCAAAGGTTACACTGTGTGTAACTCCATTCACAGAACCTTCTCCAAATAACAATACAGAGACAGAGTACAGATTCGGGGTGGCCAGAGGCTAAGGTCTGGGCAGGGAATGGGAGGTGGCTGTGGCTATAAATATAAGGTAGCACAGGGACCCTGGCGTTGCAGTTTTTCTGTGTCTTGACTCTGGTGGCGGCTACACAAACCCCCACACACAATACATGGCCTAGAAGTCAGTGTTCACATGCAAATGCATGTGAGCAGGTGGAATCTGTGTAAGCTCACTGGACTGTATCTATGCCAACCTCCTGCTTGTGATGGTGTACCATAGTTACGCAAGGCTGCTATTGGGGAAAACTAGCTGAAGGGTCACAGGATTGCTCTGTTATTCCTACAACTGCATGTGAATTTACAATCTCAAAATAAAAAGCTTCAGAGAAAAAAGAATATGCAATAATACATTGGATAACCAAACAGAATTCAAGAAATATTTTGAACAAATAGAGGCAAAATTAGAAAAAAATATTTTGAATAGAGGCAAAATCAGAAAAAAATGGCATTCACGGTAACTCTGAGGAGGATAGTTGAAGCTGTCTGTTTAATATCAACAACTACTTTCTTTTTTTTTTTTTTTTTTTTTGAGATGGAGTCTCGCTCTGTCACCCAGGCTGGACTGCAGTAGCGTGATCTCAGCTCACTGCAACCTCCGCCTCCCAGATTCAAGTGATTCTCCTGCCTCAGCCTCCCGAGTAGCTGGGATTACAGGCACTTGCCACCACACCTGGCTAATTTTTGTATTTTTAGTAGAGATGGGATTTTGCCATGTTGGCCAGGCTGGTCTCAAATTCTTGACCTTAGGTGAGCCACCCACCTCAGCCTCCCAAAGTGCTGAGATTACAGGTGTGAGCCACTGCTCCCAGCCTTCAACAACTACTTTCATAAGTGTGTGTAGGTACAATGCAATTTAACATCAGAATCTAATCATCAGTTCCACACAACACACACCCACGTGGCCTGTCTTTCTGTAGCACGTATGTGATAGTGTCTGCATAAGGTAGGAAGGTGAGAAGCAGTCCGACAGCCCCTTGTTCCCAGGCAGGGCCAAGGCCCCTTTTCTGAGCTCGCATGTCTCGGCACATCACAGCAGAACTGCCACCCTCTACACATGCTGACCTCCCTAATATGCCTGCTGACCTGTACAGAATCTCACTCATTGGCTCCCTGGTGCCCGTCTCCTGCAACATGTGTACACACATGAACACATACCCACCTGTGTGCACATACATGTGTGCAGAGACACAAGAAGAAATGTGTCCAAAAGTGCATGTGTGCATACAGGCACACACACACATGCATGAACATACACGTCTGTTTGCTGAGCATGTGGCCATCATTTGAAATTTGCCGTGCGGTCTGCACAGAAATCCTGCATTCAGGCAGTGAGTGACAGCAGAGAGGCCATCACTCCTGGGGACTTTGGGACTCTTCATCTGCCCCCGCTTACTCTGCAAGACTGGCTGTGATTTTAATACTCAGCACATCTCCGGAAGTAGAAATATCCACTGGTCTGGTGGAAGCACAATCAGTATAAAAGTGAGTCCACCACAAACGGACACACAGAGGGCATTCCAGAGCCGCAGACCGCCTGACCTGCAGACTGCTCTCCTCCACACCTGATGGGGGAACCCGAGTCGGTCCTCGGTCCAAACACCACCTCATAAGCGAATCCCTCTTCAGTTCCCTTAATAACAATTAATGTCTGCACCCTCCGGGGCCACAGTGCACAGTGTAGCATGATTTCGGGGCACGTCGTGGCTGGTCCCGCCCACAGTTAGAGGTTTACATGCTGGGTCTCCCCATGGAGATCATGACTCTTCGAGGCTGGGTCCTCTAACTTGCCACCTTGGTGTCCCTGGAGCCTGGCAGGGTTTGCATGGCAGGTGTTTAGTATTTGTTCTATTTAATGTATTTAATTGGTAGAACTGACTAGACAGAACTCACTGTACAAACGATGAGTCTCTTGCTGACACACACGCACATGCGCATGTATTACTACATTAAGTAAAACAATAATTATTGTTTGTCTAAACACGCATAACAACATTATGCCCTGCAATAGCTTTTAGAAAACATGGCTTCTGCGTTTTTACCAAGGCCTCAGGGACTTGAGAGAGAGCAGCTGTGACTGCCGGGGAGAGGTCCCTGGGACTGACCAGTGGGTGGACACAGCCAGGCCTCCAACCTCATGAGGCGGTGACTGTCCAGGAGCCCTGTGAGTGCATGCCTGACAGGGGCGGGCTGGGGCACGCAGCCCTCGGGCACACTGCACGTTCTCGCTCTGTCCACGGGAGGAAGGGATTACGCGCCTGTAACCTGAAGTGGTGAATAATTTACCCGCAAGTGCTGAATAAATGCACATTGACCAAGATGAAAAGCATCACAGCACTCGAGGGCAGTGCAGAGCCTGACCCTTTACCCTCTGGCAGGTCCCCGAGGGCAACACTCATCTTAGACGAAGAAGAGAAAGGGGACGGAGGTGCACTTGCTACATTTCTGTCAATGTGGCCAATCTGGAAAACACCGGGACCAAAATTAAAAATCAAATTCTAGCAGCTTTTTAGAAGAAGGGAGCATTTTTGAAGCGTGGATGGAAGCTCCCGCAGAGGAATCTGCGCAAGCTCCTGCACCTGGCCAACCTGCAGGCTTATTCTGGTTGCATTAAATATGCAAACTCCTACCAGGCCATGTTGCCGTGGGCTGTGTTGTCAAGGTGACAGAGCAGCTCCAGGGTCTGCGCAGTGCTGGATGAATCGTCAGGGGACTCGTGGCTGCCTGATTCCAATTCCTTCGGCATCCTCCACACGGCTGCACATGTCAGGACTTTGCTGTCTGAAGCTGAGCAACAGAGCATAATGGATAACGTCAACAGAGCACGCTGTGCTCCGAATTCTGCAGACAGCACACAGACATTTACACACATCCATAAGCAGGGCGCATCTGCTCTTTAAAATATTTAGGATTGCAGGCAGTAAAGACAGAGCAGGGAGAAGCGCAGCCCGGGTCGGCAGGCAGAACCCGGCACGGTGCGTAACCAGCATCCAGTTCCCCCACGTTCTCTTTGTTTTAAAAACCATCATTCTGTTTCAAGAGAAAATTTCATTTTCTCAAAATCAATTTTCTTTCGTTCTTCTTCAATAGTTCCTCAAAGAAGGGGAGCAAAATGGGGGACTAAAGATGTAGTTACCGCGCATGCTGCAGGTGCCTGAGGTCGGCATTAAATGCGTTTTCTCCTCATAGCTGCTCAGGAGCACCTTAAATAACTAGGAAGCACACCGAGCAATATGCCATTTGGAAATCCTGTCACTCATGTTACCCTGCTTCAGTTTACCTATAGTGGTGAGTGCCTGGGACAGGAAGGTAACACCATTCAGAGGCATCGCAGGTGGGGGCCCGGAGCCCCGGCGGGCAGCAGGCAGGAGCAGACAGCAGCCCAGCCTCGCCCCATCACCATCAAAACAGCCCCTTCTCCTAGAAATGAGAGTCCCGTCCTCACATGGTCCTGCTGTCGGCTGTTCAGTCTCCCTGAGTCTTGACATTCTATTTTTAAGATGCTCCAGGAATCTAGAGTACCTAGAAAAGCCACTTTGAGAATGACCTTCCATTAGAAAGACGGGTCACTTGTTTTTGGGAAGGTGCCAGGTTCTAGATCTCTGCCTCTCTAGAAAATTTCTCAATATGATACATTTTTTAAAAATTTTTTTAATTAGATATAAATTTTAAAATCCTTTCAGGATTTGCTTTCTATTTAGTTTTAAATTGAACATGTGCTAAACACCTCTCCCTTTTAAAGATGGGTTTTAGTGAATAATTATAAAACAGCAAACATGATTCAACATTAAATCATCAATTTATATGAAGAATATAAAAATATTATATATTATATTATAACATTAAAAAAATCCCATGAGTAGTACAAGAAAAATAGTATGGCATTACAAAATGACAACGACCTTATGTTACACTCAAAAATGTATCACTTATTGGTGATGACGCTCCTGCAATCTGAATATCAATCCACCAAGAAATACAGCAACAAACACAATGACAAAATATCTATCTTTGTGAATATTATTATTATTACAATTGTTAACCATGATCAAATGATAAGAAGTTAAAAGATTAAGATTTCAACCAGGATTTTCTGATTCCAAATTCAGTGCCCATTTTATATACCGTGTTGATTCTAAAAGAACATGCAATTGTGGCTTAAAGAAAAGAAATGTATCATACATTCATATAATGTTAACATTTCCAACTTAAAAATAATGGAGTGTACAGTGGTTTCTGTCTACAAGAGAATCTTTTTTTTTTCTTTTTTTTTTTTTTGAGACAGACCCTCTCTCTGTTGCGGGGCGCCAGGCTGGAGTGCAGTGGCGCGACCTCGGCTCACTGCAACCTCCACCTCCCAAGTTCAAGCAATGCTCCTGCCTCAGCCTTCCAAGTAGCTGGGACTACAGGCGTGTGCCACCACGCCCAGCTAATTTTTGTATTTTTTAGTAGAGACAGGGTTTCACCATGTTGGCCAGGATGGTCTCGATCTCCTGACCTGGTGATCTGCCCACCTCGGCCTCGGTGCTGGGATTACAGGCATGAGAGAATCTTTATTATTATTTATTTGCTTTGTTTTTCTTGCTGAAAATTTCAATTACATGGTCTTTCTGTAGAGCCCATGAGATTGGCAATGGCACTCATGGAAACATGAAAACAACCAAAGACAAAGTTGGCAACTTGGAGTGGGAAAGAAAAGCTGAATGCCTAACTCACTAGCACACGCTAACCCAAAAGAGGTGTAGATTATCTTAATCTTTCTAAATGACAGACAAATAAATGTCTACTCTTACAAGTGATAGAACTAAGAATAGGAGCACTAAACTGTGGCTGGACTGCAAAATGAATGAAACACACAGGACGGCAAAGGCAGGGATACTAAAAATAGCTATTCTGTGGAAGAAATGACCAACAGCAGACACCCCCACCCAATCCCAACAAATTCCTTCTTTGGAGAATTCTGCTCAGGTGTAAAGAAAGTGACTTTCCTGGAACTGCCACCTCACCAAACTCCTTAACCACATGCACATTACCCTCAATAAAGCAAAAGTGCGACACATGAAATAAGATTTTCCACTCTCAGGTAAGCTACCTCGCTTCAAAGTCTACACCAGATATGAAGCTTAAGAGACTAGCTGGACACTGAATTTTTCACACACCCGGTTAATCTAGCGCTATCGCTTCTCTCCCCAGAGTCCACCAACTTCAAAGAGTAGAGAAGGCAATGGAGGAAGCTCCAAAAAAATATGGTTAACAGAATCTACACACGCTTCAACTTTCACTCCATTCTGAAACCTTTCTAATGTTGTCACAAAGAGGTGTTTTTGTTCCTGTTTTCTTCAAAGACATAAACCCACAAGGATAAGAAGGGCAATGACATTTTGGAAGCAGGAAAGCAAATGGCTCAGTATCAAATAACTTAGCAGACCCAAGTAAAGTGAAAGCTTGGAAGCAATCTCATTCATATTGTCTCATTCATATTGTCCATAAGCTCAGGGAACTAGTGGCACCAGGCTACCTCCAGAAGCGGGGATAAACAGGCAGCAGAGAGTAGCTTAAAAAAAAAAAAAAAAAAAAAAGGTGAATATCTCTTCCAAAAGCACAAACTATGGAAGTCAGAAATAAAAAGGTGGACATCATTATGTAACATATAAGTATTTTATGAACATCATACAAAGATGCTACAAACGCTTTTATATTAAAAATATTTAAAAAACAGATGACCTGGTACATTTCTAGAAAAGTCTGAACTTAACAGAACAGATACCAGAAAAAATAATAACTCTAAATAGATTGATATATATTAAATAAAATGACTCTAATGCAGAAACTTTTTACAATGGGATATTATGCAGCCATGAAAAGGAATGAGATCATGTCCTTTGCAGGGACGTGGATGAGGCTGGAAGCCATCATCTTCAGCAAAGTAACAGAGGAACAGAAAAACAAACACTGCCACGTTCTCACTCATAACTGGAAGTCGAATGATAAGAACTATGGACACAGGGAAAGGAATATCACACATCAGGGCCAGTCGCGGGGTGGGGGGCATGGAAAACGAGAGCATCAGAAACAAATAGCTAATGTGTGCGAGGCTTAAAATCTAGACGACAGGTTGATGCAGCAAACCACCACAGCACACGTATACCTATGCCACAAACCTGCACACTCTGTGCATGTATCTTGGAACTTAAAAAAAAAAAAAAAATTTTCTACAAAAAAATCCACTAGGCTCATATAATTTTCCCCATTCTTCCAAGCACCTATTTAAAGAAACAAATAATAACAGCAAGCATACATACTCTTCTAGCAAAACGTGTGTACATATATATACACACATACATATATACAAAAAAGACTAGATCATACAGAAAAAGACTAACAACATAGATTCTATTAGGACTTCATGAAAATGTGTGTGTGTGCACATATATATATACACATGCATATATACATATACACATATACATATACACACAAACATAACATATATATATGTTAATGTTCAGTTAACATTATACTAGAGGTGTAACTAAGTATGGCAAGAAAAAATAAAGGTACATGAATATAAAAAAGGAAATAAAAATACCTTGCTAATGATTATATGTGTAGAAATTTAAAAGAATCTGTTATGCCATTAGAAAAAAAAAACTGAATTCAACAAAATTTTTAGCTACAAATAATATTTGACAAGAAAAACCAATTGAATATCTGTTGCAACAAAAACTTTGAAAATGAAATTTTTAAGAATATTAACAATAGAATTTTAAAAAATCACATCTCAAACTAAATGTGTGTAAGAATCTGTACATACTAAAACAACACTGCTGAGAAAAATTAAAAACCAAAATAAATGGAAGGGATAGACCATGCTTACAGACTGGGGAAGTCAGTACTGCAAAAACTCCATGTGCTTCAATCAGCTCTAAGCTGGTGGTTTTTGGTGGAAGTTAACAACCAGCTTCTAAAATTCTAGAATTTGTATGGAAATGTGGACAGCCCAGATAGATAAGACAGTAATGAAGAAAAATAACAACAACAAAACTGGATGACTGACAAACCAGATCGGTTTAGTATTGGTACAAAATTAGATAAGCAGTCCAGAGGAAGAGAATAGACTCTAGAAACAGACCCTTAGAAAGATGGTCACTTGATTTACTACAAAAATAACATTTAATTAGAGCAGAGAAGGGATGGTCTTTTCCACAAATGATGCTGGATCAATTGTATATCCACATGAAAGAAAATAAACTTGTATCCTACCTGATAACATATTCAAAAACCAATTCCAAACTGATAATAAAGATGTAAAGATAAAATAATACAAATCTTTTTTAGACTACATAGAATATCTTCTTGACCTTGGGACAGGCAAAGGCTTCTTAAATGGTAGGGGAAAAAAGACCAGATCATAGAGAAAAAGACTAACGACATAGACTCTATTAAAATTAAGAACTTCTATTCACCAAAGGACACTAGGACTTCATGAAAAGTTAAAACCTTTAAAATCAAAATTTAAAACTCTGCTTTTAGAAAGACATTATTAAAGAAAGGAAGCACTGGCCAGGCATGGTGGCTCACCCCTGTAATCCCAGAACTTTGGGAGGCCGAGGAGGGTGGATCACCTGAGGTCAGGAGTTCAAGACCAGCCTGGCCAACATAGTGAAACCCCATCTCTACTAAAAATACAAAAATTAGCCAGGTATGGTGGTGGGCATCTGTAACCCCAGCTACTTGGGAGGCTGAGGCAGGAGAATTGCTTGAACCCAGGAGGTGGAGGTTGCAGT